TTCTTATATAATACTACTTATAGTATTATATTACGACGGTATTCAACATACCGCGTCATATGGCCAAACGGTCACATAATGGACCTAGAGGATCTAGGGGATCGAAGAATAAATATTTAGATCTATAAGATTTAAAGGATTCAAGTAGAATAAAGATTTATGGTTTTATAGAGAATGAAGATCTATATAAGGAATAGGGTTTCTTTATATATAAAGCTTTATACTTAAGAACAATTATTAATTTTATTGTTATAATTATAAGAATTATAATTAATTATAATCTTATTGAATTCCTACTTGAAGTTTAAATTAAACTATCTTAAGAGAATTCTAAACACTTTCACATAACCTTAAAAGCAGCTCCCGTAACATATTATTCTCAATCAAGCTTAGTCTATTCTACGCTGAACGTATAATCTATAATAGGTTATAAGCTTAATCAGCTTAGATTTATACAATACTATTATCTTATATTTAAGGAATATCTTAATTATTAATAGAATTCAAAATTCAATTACTTATTCTGAATTAAAAAAATATCTTCTTCATTATAAAACATTTAAAAATCTAATAATGTATCTTTTTTTCTTTTATTTAATATATTCATCTATATAGAAACAATTTTAGTTTTGAAAGTTTTTATATTAAAAAAAAGTATCGAAGCTTCTCAAAATCTTATTTTAAAAAACAAAATCCTCATCTCTTTTAATATAAATAAAGATATATATTAAAACTTTTTTAAAGCTATTTATTTCAGTTATAAATATTATAAAAAAATAATGATTTATTAATTATATTAAGAGCTTTATAAAGATTTAAAAAAAGAATTTCGATTTTCATTATTATTTCCTTTATAGCGTATAGTTGAGTTTGAAAGACTTTTTATTAATTTCTTAAAACCTTTCTTCTTAAGCTATATATATATGAAAACTCTTTAAATACTAGAATAATAGTATTATAACGGATTAGTAACAGGCTGTAGAATTACTGACTTATAGGCTATAATGGTATTATAGGCCTTAGTGATTCAGCTATAGTATACTGGAGGACACTAGGCACTTAAGGAGAGCCTTAGGTATGTATATAGTATTAGTTATAGGATACTCTAGAAACCTAGAATATAGTTCCCAGGATAGTAGGTCCTAGGAAAGACAGAACACAATAAGCAAGAAGGCTTCACTAAGATTAGTAATATCCTAGGGGATTAGCTCCAAAACAAAAGGACAAGCTAGAACAATAGAAATCACAGGACAAATGTTATGTAATCAAAAGCCGATCGATTTATCAATCGACTTGTTAATCGACTTATCAATTGACTTCAATATAAAGGTCTATATAAGGAATAAGTTTCATTACAATATAGAGCTTTATACTTAAGAATAATCATTAGTTTTATTATTATAATTATGAGAATTGTAATCAATTATAATCTTATTGAATTCCTATTTAAAGTTTAATCTAAACCATCTTAAAAGATCTCTAAACACTTCTACATAACCCTAGAGGCAGCTCCCGTAACAAATAGTCGATTCAATATCGAACCGATCGATGCTTATAACATCATTAGTCCCTCATTATCGATACTTATATATAAAATCAAATCTCTTTTTTATTTGTATTTTTGAAATTGTTAGGGTAGGGGTCACGTGACCACGCTAGCTTTAACGCTAGCGTCTTCCGACACTATAGCAATACGTTTCGTAGCCTTAGCGTTTAGAACCTTAAGAAATATTATAACTATATAAATCATAGTACTATATTAACTTTATTATCCTCATGATGATACTAATAGAAATAAAAGGTTTAGAATATATTATATATTTTTTATATTGATATTAATATAGTTTTCAATATATTATATATATTAATATCTTAATTTCGAATATATATTTTACTTATTTAAAAGTTATTCTCCTATCGGCTTAATTTCTTAATATAATTCTTTTAATTCTATAAATCTTTTTATAAATATTATATTAACAAATAAACTTTCCCTTTTCTATCTCGCTAAATTTATTTCGATTTAAATATACTTTTGATAATGAATTATAGTATATCTAAATTTTCTTTAATTTATTCTTATAATTTCCTTAGCTTATATACCTAAATGACTTTAATACATTAAGAGGTATACTAATTTTACTACGATTTATAATTCTTATTCTTAACATCAATCTTAATCATTTTATTGAAATTATTATAAATAATATTAAAGATTCGAATAATAAAAGAGTTTTTAAAATGAGGTATAGGAAATAAGATGACTAGATTGAATCTTATTTAGGTATACGATAAGTAATAACTCAAACTCTTACTATATTAACTTTATCATTCTCATAGTAATACTAATACATTCAATTTATTAATTTCCTTTTTATATAACTAAAGAAATCTATATTTTATAATTAAATTCTTATTTCGAAAAGCTAGAAAAACAAGAAAAATAAATTAATAAATTAATAACTTTAAAGATTGAATAAACATTAAATTAGAATTATATAAAGTTTCAACTTTCGATTTTATAATATATTTTTATAAATATATAAAAGATTAATAAATCTAAATTAATCCTATAGTATCTTAATATATTATATATTTATGAAAGTCTACGATGTAGTTATTATATATAAAATATCTAATTAAATTTTTTTAAATAAATTATAAAATTATAAAATTCTAGTAGAATTTCATTTTTGTTTTGAAATGAAGTTGGAAACCTATCTATTTAAACTTCAAAATACTTTAAATATACTCAAAGAAAAACAATATAGCAATTTAAACCCTTTTTATTAAAATTCAAATAAAGGTTTACCTTCTTAATAATCTTACTATTTATAAGAACTAAAGTACTACATATATATAAGAAAGTTGATTTACTAAGCCTGAGATCTAATTCAAGCGATAAAATTGATTTAAATCCTTATATATAATATTCTTAACATTATAGTATTATAACTTAAGATAATTTTTTCTAATGAAATTCATTTAAACTATTTTATTAAAGTCAATTATAATTGAAAGAAAAAAAGAAAAAGGAATAAGTATATAGAATAAGCTAAGGGCTTTTAATTAATCTAATTTTTATAATACTAGCTTAAATACTAGGATTTATATAATGAATTAAAGTTAAATTCTTTTGAGAACCTTGTATCACGGGACCACTTCTGAAAGCATTCAGAAGCTTTATCGCTATGTTATAAAAGTATAAAAGACTAGGAGATAGAACTAGAAGCTCTATCTTACTCTTATATATATAGTAGGACAGGATAGAACAGAACAGGAAGACTTTAAAGCTTAGATAATTAATATAAAAGAGAATATATTAAGTATAGTATGGTTTATATTAATAAAATTATTTTAAGCTTAATGTGGTTTATCAGTGAACAGGTTATATCAATAAATAGATCACCTCATTTTATATATAAAATTCGTTTATACATAACCGTACACTTTCTTTATATAATAATATAATTTAAAGAAATCTGAAAATATTGAAATTTAATTATATAAATATTATAAAAATCTAATTATTTATTAAAAAATTAAATTATTATAATAGTTATTATAAAAATAACTTTTTTATAACGAAAATCGTGATAATTTCTACTTTTTTTTAGAATATAATAGAAATATTTATAAAAAAAACTAGATTTATGAAAAGCTAATTTTTTATTGTTATTGAAATTTTTTTCTTTTTTCAAAATAATGATTAATTATTAAAATAAGAATATTGAAAAAGGCCTAATTTTGATGTATTTTCAAGTGACCCGTTCACTAATATGACCCGCTCACTGATAAACCACATTAAAGCTTTTATAGTCTAATGATGTAATTATAGGTTTAAATGAAAAAAAAAATTAAAATGTAATCTATAAATATTATATAATAAAATGTAATTCAAAATAAAATAATAAAATTAAGACTCTAAAAAAATGAAAATTGTAAAAATTATGAAAATTGTGAAAAATAAAAATAATTTAGTAGTAAACCGACTTCGCCTGTAAGCTTTTAATAAATTACTCTTTAAATTTCTATAATAATAACGAAGTGAATACTTCGTCAAAGATGAATTCTGTCACCACATAACGCCTACAAGGCATAGTTATTCGCTCATTCCATTACATCTCATTCCATGCCATGTAATATAATATATCCCATGTAATCTCATCTTGATCAAATAAAGCCAGATCTTTTTAAAAGTACAATGTGGTACATGAATTGAAAGTGCCATGCCCAATTGAAAATTCGCCTGCCTGCCTGCCATCCCATTCATCCATCCATCCATCCATCCATCCACCCATCCTTAAAGATATGCACCCAGACCACAAGCCCAATCCCAATCCCAATCCCATTCCCAACTCCATTTCAAAGCATGTCAAGTGAAATCCTCAAACAATATATGCCTGCCTACCTATCTATTACCCATCCATTACCACATCCATCTCCCTCGTACCCACGCTCACATACTCATCCCATCTATTCGTACCACCAAAGCTTCACACAAAACAAGATATTCATCGTATCTTCATCCTGCAAGCCAAGCCATTGAAGTAATGTATGACCGCATCTCCTCTTCCACAACATTCACCAATATTAAAACCCCCTTTTTACATCTCCATATCCATATCCACCCCCTATGCCCAACCCAATATAAGAATCAAACAGATGAAAAAACTTTTAGTGATACCAGCAAAGAAAACATCGATCAAATCGCGGAAAATGTCTTTGAAGAAATAGTTGAATAGAACCCATTAATCCAGTGAACAAAGAAAGTTATAGGCAGCAATGAAAATATTGTAACCATTCCACGCGAACCGCGAAAATACTACCGGGTCGGCATCGTTGCAAGCGTTATTTCCATGTGCGAATGATCCTCCAATTTCATCGCTGCGAGTATTCTTCAATGGGATCTGCAAATATCCATTCGCATCTGGAACAATATATTGATAAATATTGGTTCCTTCTCCATCTCTTCCGAGTAAATCGATTGCCAGGATAAATCATTCCTTAGTAGATTCCTCCTTCTTCTTTCCCATGCGACTCCAACGAGATTTTGCAACTGGTGCTACTGCTACCACAACAGGTTTCGTTTGTGCAACCGGTGCTACCACGGCAGGTTCTGGTACTGGTACTTCAACGATAGGAGCTTGGATATTAGGAGCCTCTCCCAATTTGCGCGTGGTACTTGTATGTAATCTCTGTAAGATATCGTGGTTTTGGAAGATTACTGGCTGATGTTTGAAAGCATCGCTTAAAAGGGGTCTGCGTGGTATTTTGGCGGTGATTTCCAAACCTATGTCGCTGGAGGAGGATGCGGAGGAGGGCGCTTTACTATTTACCGGACTTGGAATTTGAGATGTAGCTTTAATTATGTTAGTATATCATGTAAAATAACATGAGGAGAGAAATACTTTCCTTCACTTTGAGTGGCAGTTGATGAAGGACTTATACCAACAGCCGAATCAGGAGCATTTGGAACTTGAGTTTTGATTGGAGGAAGAGGAAGAGGTCGATTGAGTTCGTCAAAAAATGTTACCTGTTCTATACGAGAATTCCATGTGGGATTATAGCCATCGTAACTAGCGGCGCGTGTCGTAGTAGGTGTGTCATTGGGAGTAGCATTTCCAGGTGAATTAGTGGAAAGAGTACTATGGGTACGACTAACAGTTCGCTGACTTCTCCGTTTATTGTGTTCTAGGATTTTGGGTCGATCTTCATGTTTCCATGTTGAAGGGGCTCCGAAAAGTGCATCGACTGAAGCATGAGATGGAACGTGTTTGTATGGTGCTTTGACAGCTGCTTCTTCGTTTTTCTTTTCTTCTTCTTCTTCGGCGGTGACTTTGGCCTTGTTCTCTTCAATGGCCTTTTTGGTACGTTTAAACCTTGAGATTAACGTCATTTTGGAGTTGGAATTGATTTTATGTTGTGTTATTTAAGGGTATGTGTGAAGTGAAGAATCACAGTGATATACAATGATTCAAAGTGATTTGATATTGAGATACTTGAAAGTATCAAATGGGATGATATGAGAAGAGATGGGATGAGATGAGATGGGATGAGAAGAGAAGGGATCAGACGAAAAGGAGGAAGAGAGAGAAGGAAGAGAGAGAAGAGAAAAGAAGAAAAGTCGACCAAATCATGAAAGCGAATATTTCAAAACTAAAAAGCCGGTTCGAAAGAATTTATCAAGATAAGTAAGCTATACTAACAATAATACTAATAAATCCCATCATCCATATTTCTCTTCCTCTTTCTCGTTATCATCTATCGGTAACACTAGGTAATAACGATGCCAGATCAGGTAATATTTAGCCTACCACTAGATATTTCGTCCACATCAATCATATTAAAGTTGAGATAGACTTTTTTTTCCAGGTGGATCGGGTATTTAATTCATATACTAAGGAATATTTATCTTTAAGTTCAGAATTTAGTATGGATTTGAAGCTTTCAAAAGGCTTGGGTTTGTCTTGGTATTACTTCAACTCGTCACATGTTTGGAATGTTCAAATTGGGGGTTATGATATCAAAACTTGAGTATGTATGAAAAGTACATATAATGAAATGAAATGAGTCCCTACTCTCTTGTCCTTCTCCTAATCCTCATCCACATTTCCAAACACAAGAAAACGAATATATCTACCCATCTTTCCATCCTCGCATACCTATTCACCACAGACGGGGAAGTGGAACATGGGGAAATACCCACACACACATTCGCTCCAAGAACATACTAGATATTGATATGACCAACCTCCCAGAAATTTAACACATAGATACCTACCTAATAGTTTTCGCAACAACATACTAAACAACAAGACCAAGACCAAGTGCACAACACAATCTAGATCACCTCGACAACCTCAAATTTCAAATCTTGAATACAAATCCACCGATCTACTATCTACCCTCTACAGATTTTGATAGCTTGACGGGTGGATACTTATTGGGTGTTTGCGACTACTTACCTACTCTACTAAAGACTACTTACTCTACCAGACACATAAGTTGAACCCCTCACTTTCTGGCCACCCCTATTTTGAACCACTCATTCACATTAAAAATCGCTTTTTCGACATTTTAATATCTCTTTCAAAATACAATATAATATATCAAAAGCTTATATATATACAATTCAAATTATTTCAGACTTATTCTGAAATTTTGAAATTTTCAGATTTTTTTTAGATAAAGATTTAGAGCCTTAAAATAGCGATTTTTAAATTTATATAAAAATCACATACAAATTTAAGATTATTTTAAATATTTAATGACTTTTCAATTATAAATGATAAAATGAAATTAATTAATTTTTTAAAGGTTTTAAGCTTAAATCTATATAAAGATTCTTTAAAAATTAAATAAAAATTAAAAATTATAGAGATACATATTAAACAGGGGTTAATAATCTCTATAATTTCGAAAGTACTCTTCTAAACACTTATTTATTAGAATAATTTTCATTTTTTTGAATCTTTTAGATTAAATATATCATGGGCCTGCGAGCCCTCGAACCCTTGCTTTTTGAGAAAATATAATATAATAATTTTTTTTATATAAAATTTAAAAAGTAATTTATTAAAAGCTTACAGGCGAAGTCAGTTTATTATTATATTATTTTCATAATTTTCACATATTTTACTTTTTTAAAAATTTTGATTTTGATTTTGTTAATTTTATTTCAGATTACGTTATATTGAAAAATATTAATAAATCACATTTTTATGTATTTTTTTCATTTAAATTAACAATTATATTATAGTACTATAAAATAATAATAATAATAATAATTATTATTATTATTAAAAGAATTAGAGAAGTTAAAAGGAGATAAATCGACTTCGCCTACGAGCTCTTAATACAACTACTATTCAAAATTATATTTAAAATTTTATAATAATAAAAATTATGAAATAATACTTTCTCGAAAAGTAAGAGGTCCGGGGGCTCGCAGGCCTCTCGTATTCAATGTATTCCCTTTTATATTCATTATATAAACTCTAATGTTAAAGCTAATATTATAAAAATTAGATTACTTAAAAGTTCTTAGCTTATTCTATATAATTAACTTATCTCTTTTTCATTTTTCATTCAATTGAAACTAACTTTAATATAATAATTTAAATGAATTTCATTAAAATAAAATAAAAAATTATAATATTAAGAATAGTATATACAAAGAATTAAACTAATTACATCGCTTGAATCGAATCTCAAGCTTAGCAAATCAACTTTTCGATTCTTACGCGCAGTAAGATTTTTAAGAAGGTAAACCTTTAATATTTTTTTTTAGTTTTTTTTAATGAAAACTAAAATTGATATATAATATAGTTTAACATTGAGTGGCTTATATTATCGAATGACTCACTTCAAAATATATCATAATTAGTCATTTTTGAATATTCCTATTTTAATAACTGAATATTATTTCTGAAAAATAAAAGAATTTAAAATAATAACAAAAATTCGATTTCTTAGAAATCTTTTTTTAATAAATATTTCCATTATATTTAACAAAAAATTGAAAATGTCACTATTTTTATTATTAAAAAAGTATTTTAATAATAACTTTTATATTAATTCGAATTCTCAAATAAAAAATAGATTTTTAGAATACTTATATGATTAAATATTATATTTCAAATTTTCAAGAAATAATAATAATAAATAAAGAAAGTACATGATTATATACAGACGAATTTTGTATATATTTGAAATGAGTCATTTAGTAATATAGACTATTCGATGTTAAACTATATTAATTCTTAAATAAATTTAAAATCCGATATTTTAAAGCATCGAATCTCCATTCAGAAAAATCCTAAAAATTTCAAATTTCAAATAAGCTTGAAATGATCTGAATTATATGTATATTAGATATTGATGAATTCTATTCATAAATACGAAAGTTTTTTTATTATCTTTAGTAATAAAAGATGATCTAAAATAGGAGTGGTTAGAAAATAGAGTATTCAACTTAGCTATACTTTCTCGTCGTTATGAGGTATAAATATATCTAGAAGAGACAAAGAAATCAATATATAAGTTAGATCTATAGGATTTATAATTCTATACTCCTTTCATACCTATAAGAACGATTCTTTCATTATGAGAGGGAAATTTTCATGAATGTGATATAGTGGAAAAGATGAATTAGTATTAGATTTTACATTGTAATCTTATGATATATATACATGTAGATAATAGAAGTATATAATATAATTCTATTTTCTAATTTTATTTTCTATCTATACTATAATATACTTCTCCTGATTCCCACACCTCATAACTTTTCCATTTTTATGTTTTCTAGATCAAAAATAGGCAGATACTATATCTTATATATATATACTCATCTTCTACCCACCACCTACTAACCTATCAATCTTTCATCCTTTCTTCCATCCTTCCTTCCCACTTGCTAAACTACACTACACTATACTATACCATCATCCCATAAGCGTATCACAGATCACAACATCCCTTCACACAAGAAGAAATATATAATTGGAAAGATTCACTACTAGCTGAACCAAACATCGATGGGCGTTGTATTATATCGAAATCCAAACGATATGGAAAATATGAATTTTTTGAAAAAAGCCCAGGCGCGGAAAGGAAATATATTGCATGTATTTGACTATGCGAGGTGGTCTGGATACACACGATATGCAATTTTTCAGATGCGTAGTAGATAGGTGATACGTCAGATTAATTACAAACCTTAATGATCTTCAATCTCCTATTCATCTCTTCCTAGATACTGAATTATTCGTTTCACTGCCACCTCTTGTACCTGGAAACTGAGTAAATCTTGTCTCGTTGAATCTTTCGCCCACATTCTCCTCGTGCTGGTACCATGTTGGCGATTGAGTGCATGTCACTAAGCACAGGCTATGCATACAGCGCAGTATTATCTTCAAGAGAAACCTACTCTAGATATCTGGTAGACGAATCTACAGCACAGAACATTGATCTAAACTTACTAACCACCTCGTATCTCCAGTCACGATTGATTCTTCGGATGAACATCTGACTTACCTATTCAGATTTTTGGTACAAGCGACTGATTAATACTTCGATGGGATTATTTGGCATATTCTGTGAGCCTCCTGAGTATAATCTTGAAGATAAACTTTATTTCCACTGTGTATCGACATCTGGAAAAGCATTCGGATCAATCGCCGAAATAAACATCTCTAGACTTCCAATTATATTCAAGTACTCGGTATCTTTAGTGATCCTTGTACTCCTAACACATATCGGAAAAACTAGGTAGACACAAAAAGAGCATTACCCAGTACCGAATACCATATGGTTTTGGTAGTACTTACCACCAAACCATGGAAAATCATGTATAAATCCGTGTGTGATGAGGTTCCCAGGATATCATTTGTCTTAGCTCTGTCTCGGCTATGCAACAGATTAGGGATTAAGAGATGGTATTGCAAGTGGTCAGACCATTGGAAATCTACTAGGAAATCTTCCGATGAAGTGGTATCGAGGTGGAAGTTTGAAACAGCATATCTGTCGTGACCAAAAAGTATATAATGCCATGTGAGAAATGTTTTGGGGGGAGATATTTGCAGTCGGTTGATATAGTAGAGCTTGTTGAAGGTAGGTGCGAATTTGTGGAAAGTTTATGGGGGATGAACTGTAATATCTCATAGAAAGATAGACTCATCAATGGCAGGCTTCCATCCATCAAAGAGGGACCATTACAGGATGAGAAGATATCTTGGGAAGATAGAACTAACCACCAAACTATTAGACCTCAATGTTAATTGAGGCTAAAACCTTGGGCATTTCTCTCCTCATCATATCGTTTGCTGCAAAGATTGATCAGGACTTCGACACCCAACTACCGGTATACAATAAAATGTAATTGGAATAATCGAT